GTCCAGCTCGCTAGGCCTTACTCGTATTGCTCCACTGTCGCTTGCCAGCCGCCATGTTGCTTTTGGGGGTGCTCACTGTGAGCACCTGCTGATTGCGTGCCGTGTGACTGCCCATGGGGTTGTTAGTATAACGAAGGGGGGGTAGCGATATCTGTGACGGCTTCTGACTACCCCAAGTGTAGTACCCTACGACAACACTTTTGTTGAGAGTGTAGCGACTCCACTCATGGCTGCCGAGGCCACCGTGGACTGACAACCTGGAGGGCGACTTTGCAGCAGTACACAGGTGTTTGCCCCAACCAACCACCGCTGCTATGACGTCATCAAATGGAAATCGAGGACCTTTTTTTTAGACGCGGTAAACGCACCAGTCGGAGCCGCCTTCCAGGCACCATACCGTAACGTAGTGAGATGATCTGGAGAGTTACACTTCGTCATTCGAGTGTCAGCTGTGCGCACAAGCGGTTTCCTAAGATATAACCGGCTCTCGTGAGTCGTTCATTAGTCGAGCTGCTGGCGCTCGCTTCAGCCTCCTCCTGGTGGCGTCGAGCAAAGGTATCGGGCTGCGGATCGCACAGCCCCTGTTTAGATTCCTTCTAAGCCGCTTGGTCATCACTTGTACGATTAATTAGGCATATAAGTATAATTACGTGCGATTAAGTGTTACGAAGTATTGCCATTATCGACGCTTTATAGGCCTGTCAGGAGCTTCGTGAGCCTTACGTAGCCTCGCCCCATGTAGAACGCTTTCGCCACACTCCAACGTAACGCTTATCGCGTGAGATCAGCCCATAAATGCGTTCTGGTTTAACACTGTTCCCAAACTATACCCCATTTCACACTACCTCCAACCACAGCCAACGCTACGATCCGACGAAACCAATAGACCAGTTCCAAAAGTACATCGTCACGGCGCTCGATGTCTTTGTGCGTTTGCTATGCGGAGCGCAAGACCGTCCGCTCCTTTGGCGGGGCTTGCGGTGACGTCATAACGGCGCCAAGCTCTGATTGAAGTTTAGTGGGTAGACCTCAAAGGCAAGCTGCCTTGAGGTCTACCCACTATCCGTCATTCAGAGCCAATCAGGGCTTGGCGTCGTTCTGACATCACCGCAACCCCTGCAAAAGAGGCGGACGAACTTGCACCCCGTGCAAATGACCGGCTGCTCCAATCACGCACAGTGAATTGGTCGTTTTCTTTTTGTTCGCGTGATTGGTTTAACCGGTGATAGCGAACGCGCAAGGACGAAGCAGTTTTGGTCCTGCTTCATTGGCTCCATTGAATTGTAGCGTTGGCTGCGGTCCGACTCAATAGAGTGTTTTAGGGAACCGTTTTCGTCCATCCGATACGGTACGATGACCCTCGAGTACGCACTGAGCATGCGCTAGTTTTATGCGGTAGTATATCCGCAGTTCGTACCGGACGTCTCATCGTACCACATCTCAGGTGCGAAAACGATCCCCTAAATCTTTCTGATGGGAAACGGAGCAATGACGTTATCCGTCATTCTCGTGGGTCGAAGAGCTTCGACACGAAGGTGTTGTGTGACTTTTGGCTAGAGCTGTATCATTTTTCAATTCACTCCAGCCGGCCGTGGGCCTGGACTGAAGGGGAAGTGTTTAAAAATGGAGTTTTCGTGAGGGTTGTATCAGCTTTTCTGAGTGTGTGCTTGAGAAAAGAAAGAGCAAGCAGCGGAGAATAACTTATTTTAGAAAAAAAAAAAAAAAAGTTTTCAGAATAGTTTTTTTTTTTTTTTTTTTTTTGCTTTCTAAAATACCGATAACTAAAATATATTTTCGGTTCCGACATATTGATAGATTCGGAGGCCTATCTGAATAAAGTATAACTGCGATTAAAATTTGTAAAACGAGAACTAATAAAATTAAAAAAAAATGCATCTGCCAGTTGTTTTCTCTTTTTGTCACCGGACTTGCGTTTTGTGCGTTGGCACAATAGCGTACAAAGTAAGTTTTGTGAAGTTTTCGTGTTAAGCGTTCTCTGGAAAGTAGGACAATTTTTAAATGTTCAGTTTGGCCTTGACAATTTATATAAAGTAAATATTACATTTATACAAATACAAGAACCACTAAAAAGCAAATATACGAGGCGTTATACTTTTACGTGTTATACGACTGCAGAATATGATCCTCATTTCCAAAAAAAAAAAAAAAAAGAGAAATATCGGCAGTCAGTGGCAATATTTGGTTCGTTTAATATTTTATTAGTGTTGCTTATGATCATAAAGAAGTGTTTTCTAGATATTCCTCTGTGAAATTGTTTACTATAAAAGCGCAGTGCACATTTGCTTAATAAAGTTTACTTTCGAAAGCAAAAAGCTACATGTTACGACGGACGATGAACTTTGTATATTTTGGTATCCTTCGCCGTGGCAACAAGACACGGGTTACAAGAAAGCACATAAAAGAATAGCTTCTGCAGACGGCCACATCGAACGCCTTTTCCTGAGCAATGTCTGCGCACCGAAACGCCTGCACGTCGGCACATCGCTGGCGGAGTATCGCTGCCGGTTAAGAAAACAGACGAACTTAATTGCGCGTTATAACATGACAGTCCCTGTCCTCTCCGTGCTGTAGAATGAAAACGATATGCCCGTTGGTACATTGCTCCAGACTTAAAAGCGCCAGAGAAGAGGACAAGCATGGAGACAAAGGAATACTATAAACTGAATTTAAATTTGCGTGCTTTTAATGTGTATATATTTCAGTTTTTTTTTTTTGTCACAGTGTGTGTGTGTGTGATTGTGTGCGTTTCTGTGTGTGTGTGTGTGTGTTATTTCTTTCATTGCGAGATAGCCGTCGTTCGTGAGGCTTCGCATCCGAACCCGTTCAGTTTATAGCATCACTTTGGTTGTCTCTTTTTTTTTTTCTGTTCTCTGGCACTTTTCTTGTGGATGCCTCTCTTCGGACTGGAGCCAATCCCCTTTTACGAAATTATAACGCGACGTTCCATGCGGGCAAAAGAAGAAGTAATTCATCGACCAGGACTTGTTGTCGCCTGTACCCAGTATTTACCGTAACGGAAAAGCTAGAACATCGCAGTGTTCGGCGGCGCATGATACGAAACAATTGCTCATTTATTGCGCGACTGCACGACCTACCGACAACAAAGGAGGAACCTTCCAGATTGGCGTGGCGCGACACGACGAGCGTCCAATTTTTCCTTACTCCCCGCCTTAAGGAATTATCTACAAAAACAAGCCAAGGCCAGAAATGCCCTTCGGTGTTTCCTGAAGGAAACACGCCTGGGCATATACCTTATGAAAACTTCATTAGTAAACCCAGTGGTGTGTGTGTGTGTGTGTGTTTGTGCGTGTGTGTGTGTGTGTTTTTGCGTAATTTCTTTTACTGTGTGATAACCGTCGTTGGTGAGGCTTCACATTCGATCACGTGCGTGGTTCGTGTACGCTGTGAAAAGAAACTTCTTCACTAAATTCAGTGGGAAATCACAGTGTCATTTTATTGTGGCGTCACAGTGTCTCGTTGCGTCACAGCTTTTTTCGCTGAATTCACCGGGAAACTTTCTTCGTTAAATATAGCGGGAAGTTTGGTCGGTTCAATTTACCGGGCATTGAGTGTCACGTGACGTTATGATGCCATGTGACATCATAATGTCACGTCAAGTTACGACGCCAAGTGGCGTCACAGCTTCACATGAACACTGTACACTTAATTTAGCGAAATTTCTTTTACACGTCAATGTAACTGTATGAAGCAGTGTGAAGGCAACCACCCGAGGTCAATAGCAACACACATCAAAAAGCCGGGTTATTATATTTTTACGTCCGGTGCTATAGGTGTTGTGTCTTTACCATACCCATCACGTTTTTCTCCCCTTTACTTTTTGTATTCCCTCCCCTGCGCAGAGTAGCCAACCGGGACTATTAATTTAGGTCACAATCACTGGATTAATGTTTTTGGTGCAGCTCTTTTTTCCACTCACTCTCTTTTTCTCTCTCAGAAATTACATGCACGCTTTGACGTGATTGCTTTTTCGTTTTCAAATTCCGCTGATTGAATCGATAAGCGAAATTTGAAAGAAAAAGTTTGTGTATGAACACATCGCCAAGGTATACGTTTCGTCTAAAGATTAAAATTTATGATGAGACTAACACAAACACATTTTGAAAAATTAAAATTTTATAATTTTTTTTTTATTGCAACAAGGTGACCTCTGTGTTTTTAAGTGCTTCCCTTAGGCGTTACGCGTTTTAGAAATATAACTCCGATTTAAACACTACCTGAACAATCTGTTCAACCTCATTTCAAGACCATCGTGATAAAGCATGACCGGGTACAGACGCTTTGCAGCAGCTGTGCATGGGCGCCGCCATAACCGACCTTCAGTTTTTGTTTCCTCTCATTCCGTTCGCTTCCCTTCGTCATTAACATAGCAGGCCAGGTCATTTCCCTTTTAGATTCTACCGTGTCCTTCCCCCCATCACTCGTCTTTCTGCAGACTCGTCCACGCCCGTCTTTGATGGCTCGGTCACCTCGGTAAAACAAGAGGAGGTCAGCAATGGCGAATGTAATTTGGCGCGTGTGTAAAGCGTCTATATGCTTACAATATGTGCTCGCACTAAAAAACGAAAAGTATACTTTGGTTGGTCGTTGGACACTCGCTCAAAAAAGTCATCAATTCTAGCTGCCCCGTAAATGGTCCCTGATGCCCACTAATGACTTCTTCTCTCAAAAAGCTTCCATGTTGATGACTTCTTCGGGATTGTTTATCACGCACAATATTTTCTTTGACAATCTAATCATTTTTACTACACTGAAAACAAAATTCGTGAACGTAACCTGATACCTGACATGCTTTCTAATGATAACTGTATTTTAACATATGGTCGGTGCTTCTAAGCAGTACTATAAAATGCTGCGCTGGTCGTGATTAAGCGTACGTGACGAAGAACGAGCAGCCTGAAGTGCTCTTCTTTTATTTGATATCTGTCTTTCCTGTTGTTCGATGTCGTCTTCAATTCTGATTATTCCTCATTCTGCTGACTTGACCTGCAAAGAATATGAAAATAAATATATCTAAGCCAAAAGTCACGGTTTCAAACTGCTTTCAAAACCCTTACGATATGAGCCTCAGTTTGAGGAAGGCACTTTACGTGACTGAGTTTTTTTAGAGCACTACATCGGCTCTCTTCTGCATTTTACACACACAAATTAGTGTAAAAACAGCAGTTTTCAACATACCTTGGTATTGCAATATGCTCATGTCACGTGCAAAACAAGAAATAACATTCATTAAACCGTTCTGATAAACCTTAGAAGTAATCGGTTTGCATCTAAAAGAATTGTCTTACAACAACAAAATAATTCGGATGCTAATTATTTTTTAACACGTGGAAGTTGTTACTAGGTCGAGGCTCTTTTTGCGAGTCTACCTGCGTGGCTCTTTTTCATGCTTTCAGGTTATTAGTTAATGTTCAATTATTTTAAACAATAATTAGATTTGACTCACAAGATAATACATTAAAAATGGCGGCTCTATTGAGATAGCACTTCTTTAAAAAGCTGTGCGTGTCATCAACAAACTATTTATGGCAGAAAAGACACAAAAAAGAAAGTAATGGAAAACGCGTGCGTCCTGTCGTTCTGTAAAAATTTCTATCAATATCATCATCGTCATCATCATCAGTTTGTGTTGTGTGCTTATGAACAGCGAAATCGCCTCAATTATGACCCACAGAAGAGTGTTTATAGATCCTGAGAGGTTGATGTCCGCTCTGTGATCTCGTCATACAGGGTGTTTCGCGAAAGGTGGACAAATTCGATATTGCGAAAACTACGCGTCGCAACAAAAAAATGCTTCTGTCGTTTTGGTCCTTGGTCAGGGACCCATCTAGGAAAATTATTGAAGTCCGGTATAATTGGATTGTTAGTTATTTTCGTGCAATTAACTTTTTATTAATGTGTTTAAGGACGTGGTTTCAATCAGAAAATTGCTCAGAATCATCGAAAAACACTAAATCAACAAATTGCAGAAGAATAGAAGGCACACGCAGCTTTTTACGGCTTTCTGAAAAAACACATATATTCGACGGGTCTTTTAAGTTTCGGTTTGCAATCGGAGCGCATCTCGGCCCCTACGGCACCACGCCCCGCGGAGAAATGGTGCAACCAACTTTTGCTGCGCAGTCCTCGCGCAACGCAGCAGAGGCTGGTTGCGCTATTTCTCCACGGGGCGCCGTGCCATCGGGGCCGAAATGCGCTCCGATTGTAAACCGAAACTTAAAATCCCGTCGAATTTGTGCGGTTTTTCAGACAGCCGTAAAACGCTGTGCCTGCCTTCTACCGTTTTGCAATTTGTTGATTTAGTGTTTTTCGATGATTCTGAGCAATTTTCTAATTGAAACAATGCCCTTAAACACAATAATAAAAAAGTGAAAGCCGTTTACAACTTCCTGTAACGCCGAATTGGAGCGCAGCTCTTGAGGAGGAGGAGTGGAGGATATATTCCTCCTCCTCCCTCGTGATCATGCCTGCTAGTCCTCCTCCCCTCCTGCTCCCCCTCCCTCTCCTTTACCACCTCCTCGTCCTTCAAGCTCCTCCCCTCCCCTCGCCTCCGCCTCCTCGTCTCTCCTCCCCCCCTCCTCCACCTTCGTACTGCTTTCCTCCTCGCCGCTCAAGCCGGACAATGAGGGGAGGAGGAGGAGAAGGAGGGGGAGGAGGAGGAGGGGGAGGAGGAAGAGGGGGGAGGAGGAGGGGAGGAGGAGAAGGGGGAGGAGGAGGAGGGGAGGAGGAGGGGGAGAAGGAGAGGGAGGAGGAGGAGAGGGAGGGGCGCGGTTACGCCGACGCCGACGCCGACGCCGACGGCGACGGCGACGCCGACGGCGACGCCGACGCCAACGGCGACGCCGCTCAGGCTGGAAACGGGCCCCTAAGAGCTGCGCTCTAAAAGTTAATTACGCAAGGATAATTAGCCATCCAATTATACCGGACTTTAATAATGTTGCTAAATAGGCTCCTGGCCGAGGACCAAAACGACACAAGCCTTTTTTTTTTGTTGCGACGCGTAGTTTTCGCAATATCAAATTTGTTCACTCTTTGTGAAACACCCTGTATAGCATTCTATATGGGTTATGAAACTAGCTAAGATGGCATAACTAACATAGGCAGTAATAATAAAACTAGATAAGAAACAATCAATGCGAATTCGTAATAATAATGAAAGGTCACCGCAAATGTCTTGTTTGGGACACAGACTTGTTAGTTCAATATTGGTAAAAAAACCTAAACAATTTCATTTGCCTTTAATTTAAGTCGTTCTTCCGTCAGTGGCTGCACATTATATGTGCTTAGAATTTCCTGAAGTATGAACACCTCCCAATAAGTTTAGAATACGGCCTTACTTACTCTCTCAGTAGAAGTGGTCTCCAGAGCTCGCAGATATCACGCCGTGGCGTCAAAGCTCTGGTGTAATTATGTGGCCGGAGGTATATGCACTCGGGATTGCTGGCGCTGAACCTTGGCCATTCAGTCGTGGATGATGGGATTGATGGCTTCCTGAGAAATCATATAAATATTCCTTTTAATAATGCCAGATCAAAAGCCGTATATTTTGTTTTAACACCAGTGTAACACTACTTTATTTAAAATATATGCACGCATAGGCTGTATTAAATGGTACCCAGCGCAAGCTCTAAGAAGTTCACATATGGGACAAAATGCTGCAGACTAAGTACAGTGACCGCCGATATGAACTGGAAGGCATGAGCGACAAGAAGGCAGCAGAGAACACGCGGTCTAGCAGGCAGTGAGCGAAGCGTCAGAGCGGCAGGGGCGGTGTTTAAATTTGTGGACGCAATCCTTGGGCGCGATACAACCCCACCTTCCGCCGTGTGCATGATGGTGGGTAGAGCAGCTGCAGAGCAGATGCGCCGCGACGCGCACGATATATCTTGCGCATCGTGGAGAGGAATCGTTTTCAAGGGGTGCCCACAAATTTAAACGCAGCCACCGCTGCTCTGACGCTTCGCTCCACGCACTCTCGACCGCGTGGTCTAAATTGCCTTGTCGTCGCTCGTGCATTCCAGCCTACATCGCTGACATTGTACGTAATTCTGAACACGAGAGATCAAGCTAAAAAAGGAAAATAAATATAAGCGAGCTTACCCAGTCTCAATGAATGAGGTCCAAGTTCCAATCAGTTCCTTCATGAAATCCAGCTCGTCTTGTGTGTAACGAATACCCCTCAATATCTTTCTGACGCCTTCTCCAAGGGGAGGGGTGAACCTGCTGGTGTCGTTTATAAACGGTAAGTATCCAAGCGTGAACGCCAAGTCGTCATTGTGGGTAGGTCCGAAGGACTTTGGCCAAATGCTGTAGGACGGCCGATGCGCAAAGATGTATCTGTAGGCCTTAATTCCAAGCTCGGCCGCAACTTCGCCGAAGAGAATGGTGGGGCAGTCAACAACAACGTCGCCAAAGATGTCCTCTAGGATACTGTTCAGAGATGTTTCGTCGTGCTCAACCGAGTCGTCTCCAAAATAAGCGTGCACGATTTGTTTCGCTCTGGCGAAAGGGGCATCTAACAAGGTTGAAATGGCGACAGTTCCCGCGAGTCGATAGTCAATACTCAAAACCTGCGTGAGTTGTGGTACCTGAGATTTCAGGAAATCTAAGAAGTACGATCCTTCGTCGGAAGTCGATCCCAAAAGAATTTCCTTGGTGCTAAGGGATTTCCATATCTCTTTTGATCTAATATCGTCTGGCAGAAATTCGTCACCATAAACCGGACTAAAGAACTGGTTGATTGGATCCCCTTTCTTGAGTGTTCGGTAAATTGTCTCCGCGTCGGGTTTCTGTAAACAGGTGACGATTTTATTAAAGTTATTAGACCAGTCTTTTTCGCCGGTGAAACAATCTAGGGCCCCGGCGACATTCAAAAATTTTCCTGCGCCAGCGGCTGTGAGACCTACAGCTAACGACAACGGTGTCGAACTTTGAAGAATGAGACGAGAAAATAGCTTCTGACTATGAGGCGAGATGGCATGAAGACCAGCAGAGATGGCTCCAGAGCTGAATCCGCTGAGCGTGATATGATTGGGATTTCCGCCGAATTGCCCAATGTTATCTCGAACCCACTTCAAAGCGAGATTTTGATCCCATAGACCAAGATTGCCAGGCAGTTCTTTTCTTCCCGATGCCAAAAATCCCAGGACACCCATGCGGTGGTTCATGGTTACGTAAATAACGTCCGAGAGCGAAACGAAATTGGCTGGGTCAGATAAAAAAAGAGACGAGTCACCGATTTGGAACCCGCCGCCATAAATATAAACGACGACGGGAAGCTTCGTGTCACATTCACCAGATTGTGAACACACGGACGATGGCCTCCAGACGTTTAAGAAAAGGCAGTCTTCAGATGATATGGAGGCATTGAGGTAGTTGAGGGTGATCGTAGAGTAAGGCACGTCGTACTGCCAACAAGGCTTGGGTTTCTCGGTGGCATTGTAGATTCCTTTCCAAGGTTTCGCCGGCACCGGTTTTTGAAAGCGAAGTTTCCCGACTGGCGGCTCTGCGAACGGAATGCCGTAGAATGCGTCCACGTGTCTTGCGGGGAGAGTCAATTTTCTGCCCAGGATGGGGCCATGGTCCGTGTGCACCACCGGAGTGTCGCTCGAAGGGTTGGAAGCAGAAATCACCAGACGCGCACAAATAACGAGCGAAAATGTCCGAAACAGAGCTGCAGAAGGCATGTTGGCTTGGTAGGATTCCTTCTCGAATGCTATCAGATTCACTTTCGTTAACCAATTCGCAAGGTATACCCTAGTCGTGTTTTTTAAGTCCCTTGATGCACATTTGAAGAACCGTCGCTTACGCGCGCCGCTATATAGCCTCAGCTGTGACCTTGGCGTTCCACGCAAGTTGTTTTCGTAGTTGTGGCTTTTCTTTCCTATACTTCATTTCTCCACGTATGACTTTGTCAGTACTATGTTGCCGTTTTTTAAATTACTTTATTCTGTTTATGTTCAGTTGTTTTTACCTCGTAATTAATGCCTAAATTTTCCCACCTACGAAATGTTTTTTTTTCCTTCTGGCCCACAGGCGAGAGCAATAAGCAACTGACGGTTTCACCAATCACACTGTTGTTTATGGTATCTCTTGGGTCATTTCAGCAATTACGATGATTTTAAGGCAATGATTGAGCCAACTTCATCGCGCGTATAAAAACAAGCGAAAGTGGATCTGAGATGGTGTCGTAATTTGCCTTGTGAACTGATGATACTTCCATATAGCAAACGAAGGAAGCTCGTTTTCTGTTTACATCGTGTCCCTGTCTTATTTTTTGGTGATATTTTATTTTTAACGAAAGAAGTGTGCTTGACACCAGTGAGTGTGACTAAAAAATGCAGTTTTGCTGAATAACTTTATCACATTCATTCCCTTACTTCAAGCAGGTTAAGAGTCTGCGAATTGCCTTAATTTATGCAAATATTTTCTCTAAACCAATTTCTAATTTAAGTATGACATCCTGAATTTTATATTTTAGGGGCATTTGTTATAATTCCCATTGCAAATTTAGAAGAGCATCAAGTTTACATTTGGTGGCCAGAATCAAGAGGATAATACATCTGCGCGAGCGTCTACATATATAGCAAGGTTACATTACAACAGATACTAACCAACTAGAGCAGAGTATGTTTAAGTTTCTATGCTTACAAAGCGAGTTTCTTAAGAAGTGTATAACCTTTCATGTATCATTTCTGTATTTATGGGCAGTTTCCAGGTGAAAAGAAAAGTTTGAAGACAATGAAACACATAAGAATAGGGACAAGTGAAACGACAGGACACGGATGTTATCGGCAATGGAAGACACAGTTTAATGGCAGTGTGTAGCTGCCGAATATATTTTATTTTGACGGTCAAAATCAAAACGAGGAAGAGAAAGGAACGTTTTCTACTTGTCTGTATTTGAAGATCGATTATGAATAATCAGTCCTTCCCGACGCCCGAACACTCATTCTAGGCAGCCTAATGATATTAGTATATTCTAAAGGCTAGAAATTAGCCCATTCTAGTAATTATACACTAAGTACTTTATCTAGGAGGGGGAACAATCTAGATCCAATTTATAAACCAACCATTAAAAAAAAGTATGAATAAACTTTCAAAAATAATCCCAGTTTTTACTTGTTAGATATTTTAGGAATGGCTATTATTAATAGGGAGTTTCATAATAACGAACGCAATTTTAGCGCACCCTAGCGCTAAATTTAGCGCTTGTATTAGGGCACGCGACGTGAGAGAGTTTTAGAATAGCGTTTCTCCGTCGCTACGCAAAAGCCCAACCATCTCGCGCTTGCGACGCCACCAAGATACGGTCACAATATTTATTTCACACACGAAATGCTGTAACTTCAGAAAAAAAAAAAACAAGTTTTTCGCTCTAGAGTATTATTTTTGATTTGTTTAAACATGAGAATGCGACGCGAGCGGTTGACCGGTCGTGTCCACTTGCGTCGCCTCGGCAAGAGAGGTCTCGTGTACTGACCTTCGCACATCGTACCTTCGCCGAGAAATGTTCGCGCGTCGCAAGCATCAAGTTGCCGGTGATAGTTGCCAAACCGAGTACAATGTCGTCCCGTATTGAAAATTGCAGTCGCGAGGATGCCGCCGACGTCGCATTCACGACGCCGCCAAAATAATGCTGGAAGCCGACATTTTTTTTTTTTTAACTCTGCTCGTCTTGGCTTTAGCCAACTGCTCATCACGAATCCTCCTTGGAGAAGCGCAGACTCTTTGCGTACGCACGCTACTTCCGAGAAATAGGGGACGCTAAAATTGCGCACGCAAAGCGCAAAACGTAGTTTGCGTTCGGAGCATGCGTTGTGGCGACGACGCTATTCTTTGCCTACGCAAATCTTTAGCGTGCGCTATTCTGAAACTCCCTAATAACGTCCTAACAGAAAATATTAACAAAATAAAACATTCTGTTTTTATGTTCTTCTTTGAAAGCTGAATCTCCTAAGATGAGCGTAAATAAATGACAAGCTTTGCTTGCTGCCTCGATTACAACTCCGCAGCTTAAGCAGAACCTTGAGAATTTTAAGAGAGCATTCAGTTTGGTAATCAAAATTATTCACTTCTAACTTTATTTCAGTGGATGACTATCTGCCCCTGATATTAATTATTTTCTTGCACCATACCTAAATTTACTATTCGTGCATGGTCATGCTCCTTCACTGACATATTACTGCATTTTTAAAACATTTGTACTAAAGTAATCAAAGTAGCCTACAGCTAAACAAGTCATACCAACACTGTTAGCATGGTTGAGGCTAGCGTCACGGCACTAAGTAACAGGCTTGGAGAGAGGTGCAGACACTGTGATATTCAACTGGAAAGTTAATAAGCTCAAGTCATTATCCACTTTAAGCCCGAAATTCATGATTCGCACATGCCTATTATTCTCAGTATGAAGCCAAAGGCGAACCAGGTAGTAGTCCGTTGATTTGTTACCGAAATAGAATACAATTTAAATACCAAACTGGATGCTTTGCTTATTTTTAGAAGGTTGCGATAAAAAATGCACTGCTTAATTGGGTTAAAAACGAAGCTTTGTAACACAATCATGTGCATGATTACATTCTACAAGTCGTTTTACATGTATACACATCATTCTATTTCAAAGCTAACAGAATTTTCAAAAAAGGCAGCGAGAGGTATGGGAATGTCTTCTTCATTGCGCGTTCGTGGGACTCTGTGGACATTAGTAAAGAGGATAAAGGTCACAGTACGTTGACTAATTGACGAAAATTTGTTAGCTTTGCAACTAATGGTTTTATGGGCCATGCTGCAACAGCAGTGTTAAAAGCCAGCCAATATTAAAGGCTATCCCGACTTAAACAATTCACAAAATGCCAAGCGGCTTCGACATATTCGTTGTCCAACTTTTGTATTTTAATGTCGGATGCAAAAACCGCGCTCAGGAGCTCAAGAATTTGTGCCGTTAATGGTGGGTGGAAGAGTGACATAGTCGTACTGGGCACATCGTCACCATCTCGACAGTGTGTCCTTGGTAGATGCATCCGCGTCATACTTCTAAGATAGTAAAGGTGCGTCCGAAGCAACCACGTCCGCAAAACATCTTAAGGTCTTCCCCGAGTGCGCAATTTTCGAATCGGCTGACAAAAAAGACAAATTTTTAGCATTCCATATCTTGAACCTTTTTGCTGTACAGAAATTCTGTTAGTATTTAATATTCACTGCCTTTGAAGCTAGAAGTTAAACATATCCCATAAAACAATTAATTGAAACATTATTAAAAAATGTTTGTTCATTAGTTTTGATTAACATACTGCAACGGTGATCGCCTTATCTAATGTCCTCCAAGCCCCAGAAACACACAGTGAGGGAATCATTTAAGTAACTCGTGCCGGTTTTTTTTTTAAATTTCATTCGAATCATAATAGGCAGCTTTGTATACATGTATATACATGTTTATGTAAAAGGCCAGTTTTACATAAACCCTCAGCATGGTATGTACCAGGGATGGGCAAAATAAATGCAAATATGTACCGAAATACAAATACAGAATACTTCGTCAAAAATGTATTTAATTACAAATCTAATTACATTTCCAAAACAGCATTTAAGTACAAGATACAAATACAACCAAATGTATTTGGTCTCCTTCCAATACTTTTCCAAATACATTCCTCAAAATTTGCGTCAGCGACTTCAGGGCACCTGCAACGGGTTTCTGGGTATCTCATTTTAATTTTGCATCGCACACTCGGGAGTTAGTGTGCGAGGCTCTAGTAACGCTATAGAAATATAATCACAAAAAAATGTAATCAACTTGGACGTAATAGGTGAAAAAACTAGAGCTTCAAGCAGCAGCTTTTTTTTTTTTGTCGATTACATTTTGGTATAGACCAACAAAGAACCGAGACGACCAAGACGCGCAGCACTAGATAGAGAATTTTTTTATCGTTGCAACTCGCACCAGTTACAAAAATCTGGACGACCCCCGTATTTAGAATGTTCGAGGCAAAAATATGGATGGAAATCAGGCTGGAAAGCATCACAAGTTGTCACAGGCACTTATTTAGCCAGTCTGCCTGTGATCGTCGATTTTGTCAATATTCTTGCCCTGGACTAGCACCGTAATCACGAAGTCACTAAACGCTTGTACTTCATTAGAGACACTGCATTCGGTGCAGAACGTCGTTTTCTTCCTGCTCTGGACAGTGTCAATAAATTTGAGGGCAGTATTTTCGCCCACAAAATTGCATTTAATTACAATAGTATTTGAAATACCCACGTTTCAGTATTTAAATACACGCGTCAAATACATTATCCAATTCGTAATTAAATACCGATGCAAAATACACAAAGTATTTGAAATATGTATTCCAAATACTTGTGTTTGAAGTACTGCACATCTCTGGTATGTACCAAGGACCGCCAGAAATGATTGCTCACCTCAGAACACTCTGTGCGGCTTGAAGAGAGCGGCTCGCGGTCTTTGACGGTGGGTCTAACCGCTTGGTGCAGCTGGGACCTGCAAGAAAGTTAATGCAGCTTGCCATATAGCAGAAAGTACCCGAAGGAAAAATCCATCAATGTAACCCTGTTTGGCAGTCAATGTTTTCTAGTGGACCGCTGACTGTGCCTGACTGTACCTCAAGCATGTCTGATTGGCGAACAAGTTACTCCGACCGACAGTCAAACTCCAGTCAGACGCCGCTTG